ATGTGGTCACCTCTGGGGCAGGCGGGATTCGAACTCATGCGGAAGTGGCTTTAGCTTCTTAGTGCTGTGCTTTAACCCGCTGTGCCACCAGGGAGCGCCCTCTACTCATTGTTTTAATGATTCACTATTCATTGAAAGATACCCAGAAGTAGGATGTCTAGGGGTACGGTGGGTCTGCACATGATAGTTCTTTTATAAAACACCATACTGCTTTCCCCATGGTGGTGTCAACTCTCATTCCCGACAGCAGGAGCAAGTGCTCCCTAGGGCCCTGGTGTCTTGGTACTTTGTTTAACCAGGCTGTTTGTTCTCTCCGGCCTTCTCTGCCCAATCTTTGGGAAGCTCCTTTACCATAACCCCTTCCTGCTGTGCTTCCTATAGGTTGTCCAAAAAAAGGTTTTATCTGAGCTTTGAAAGTCAGATGGGAAGATTCACTCCTTTCCATCACGCCCACTGGCATAAGAGAAAAGGGATGGTCTGGAGAGTGACCTGAGGAGCTTTGCCATGGAGGTTAAAGCACCAGCACCCACATCTGAGCTTTCTAGAATGGGGAGAGAAACACTTGGCTTGGCAATGCATCCCTTCAGTGGAAGTTGTATTCTGGATTCTGGGGGAGCAACACAGAAACCCCACTCTATGAGCTGACATATCTCAACACCAGATAGCTCAGACCTTGCTCTTTATTGAATCAGCAGAATTGTTGTTTTGTCTGTGGTGCTGGGGCTGGCAGGAGAAAGAGAATTAGGGGCCAAAGAGCTACTGTCCCCTTTCCATAAGACTCTTCCATCCTTCAAATTGTGGCTGCAAGTGGGGGCACTGGGGTGCTCAGACTCACACAGCTGCTTCCCTCAGTGGTTTTTGTTCAGGCCTGTGTCACTGTGGGAGGGTAACTTTTACGCTGCTGACAGTAGTAAGTGGCGACGTCCTCAGGCTCCAGGCTGCTGATGGTGAGCGTGAAATCTGTCCCAGATCCGCTGCCACTGAAGCGGGAGGGGACCCCGGGTTGCAGATTGGAGGTATCATAGATGAGGAGCTTAGGAGCCTGCCCAGGTATCTGCTGGTACCAGGCTATATATTTGCTGATGTCCTGACTGGCCCGGCAAGAGATGGTGACTCTGTCTCCCGGAGATGCAGACACGGAGGGTGGGGACTGGGTCATCTGGATGTCACCCCTGGCCCCTGTATGGGAACAGAAAACACCCAAATGTTCACCCTGTCACCAGAGGACTTCCCTGAGGCCAGGAGTCCTGACCATGGGCTGGTCCCCTCCTGATGTTTCCTTCCTCACCTGGGAGCCAGAGCAGCAGGAGGCTGAGGAGCTGAGCGGGGGCCCTCATGTCCATGCTGGGTCCTGCCTGCCTGACTCTCAGGGGCTGGGGCAGACTATGATGAGGTGAGGGAGGGGCTGTGCTCTGGGACATGCAAATGAGCAGGGCAGGGCCGGGCCGAGGGGCAGCTGCAGGGCTGATCTCAGTCACACAAGAGGCAGGGACTCCCCAGGGACCAGGTCCCCAGGGCAGCATATATTTGTCTGAGAAGGAACTTCTCTACTGAGAAATAACCAAGTTATTTCAAGCTATACTCACTGCCCAGTGAGTATAGTGCTCTTTTGGCCTTACCGACATTTAAAATACCTTTACTTGCTTGGCTCCATATAATACAAGGACTGTCAAGCGTTAACACTCACAGAAAAATGTACTAACTTATTTTATTTGATTATGCAGATACTATAGATGTCAAAGGATGTTCTTTTAAGGTATGATTCCTTCATATTCTTGGTGTGAGTAACTGTCTTCATGACTAGAGAGAAATGGATGAGGAAGAAGGGCAAAAAAAAAACGGGGTGTCATGAGTTACAAATAAGAGCCCAGAGATTGAGCATGTTCCTGTGCCCTCAACGCAGGCCAAACCTTGTGTCCACCCACATCTGAGGCCCTGTTCCAGCATATCAAAATGGCCACAAGGTCAAGGGTGTCTCCTCCCACATCTTCAGGGACCCTGCTGTGTCCCTGAACCTGCACCTGCCCACTCGTCACCTACTCCAGGCCCCAGGCAAGCAGCTCCAGTCTCCGGGTGAGGAGGGGTCTCCCTGCCCGACTCCCTTGGCTCATCATGCTGCCAGATCACGCACTCAAGGCCGTGTCTGCTCCACATGCACCTCTGAGCAAATGTCCTGCTGTGAGTCCTGTCCCCACCCCACCACTCCAACATGACCCTGCAGGATTCCCAGAGGAGGCAGAAGCTCAGGACAGAGAGGGCAGGATGGGGGGACACTGTGAGGTGCCTGAGGCACCTCAGCCTGTGTGTGAAGGGGGATCACTGGGGGATTCAGAACAGCAGGGGGGACTCAAAACATTGAAGCCACTGAGAAATGCACTGAGGGGTCACTTGAGGCGGGGGCAGGGTGCAGGGGAAGGAAAAAGAGGATGTGCCTGCACCGCTATTTGTCCAGGCCTGCTTCCCTGAGAAGTCCAGAGACACGAGGAGCCCCAGGACAGGAGCGGCGTGGCTATAGGTCCAGGTAGGATGAGGGTGCCTGGCAGCTACGCTGGGCACTGGCTGGCTCCATGCCAAGGGCAGCAAGGAGCAGGGCCTGGAAGCTGGTTTGCAGAGTTCAGTCTGGGATGATGTTAACAGTGACCCTGCAGGTGAGCATCACCCTTCATGGGGCCAGGGGCACCTGAGTCGGATCCGCTCAATGTCCTCCCCACCATGTTTCGTGGGAAACAGACATGAAGATCCACAAGTAGCAACGCCAAAAGCATTCACTGAGTTAATGTTTATTTGTGATCAGGATACAAAACAGGCTAAGAGTCGTTTTCAAGAAAATGTCTGATGATCAGGTAAACAAGCCGGGTAGAGCCTGTGCTCTTTCCTTCCGCAGAACCAAAGAAGTGGAGGTAGAGGAGAAAAGCTGGGCTTCCGTGGAACAAGGTTCCTCCCAGGCAGAGCCAGCTGAGAGAGGTTGGGGTGCTTCTAGAGATGCAATCACAGCTGCGGAGAGGGCAAAGTGGCTCCCAGACATGGAGCTCAGACACTGGCAGGTTCGCTGGAGCTCAGCCCTCTGGAGACCCCCAGAACCATCATGCCTGAGGGGCTCCCTCTTGCCATCTCAGTCTGTCCTGATCGCTTGAGTACTGTAATCACTTTGGGGTTTGATGGTCAAATGATGGGACTGTGACTCAGCAGCTTGCAGGATTTTCCATGTGGCCCCCACTCAGTCAGGGCTGAGGCTTTAAACTCTTTCGGTGATGCTGCAACTAATGTTAGGGATTCCAGAACAACTCTGTGGGAAGCCAAAATGACCCCTCTTCTCAATTAACCATTCACCTAGTGGAAGAGAAAGGAGCAAACAGGTGACCAGGACTGGTCATCCTATTCGTGACAAGTCTGCACATACCAGATCCTGAGGTTACCTGTGAAACCCAAGCTGTGGTTGGAAAAGAGGTGCAGCAGGGGAGAGCCTGTCGGGGCGCTGTCTGGCTGGGGGAGCAGAGGGTCCTGGCCAGACCCGTCACCAAGCCTGGCCCTGCTCCAGACACTTTCCAGAGCAGCTCTGGGACCAACAGTTAAGCAGCACACAGTGCGAAGTCAGCCATTAAATCTCGGCTGTTTCAGCTAGGAGTAAAGTCTCACATCTCAATTCAGTCTAGATTAAATGTGCGGATCCGCCTGTAGCTTTTTTTCCTGTGTTAGGTTTTGCTGTTTGACACTTACATACATGAGAATCCCAGAGGAATGAAGCAGCACAAGTGTGCATCCAGCGTGGTGAGGGCTGTGGCCAAGAGAGTTTCCCTCAGTCTAGATGGGGGTGTCAAAAGGAGAAGTTGGATGTAGGAGACACAGCAGAATGAGTGTGGACCTACATGATGTGATTCTCTGGTTGGTGAAAAGGATGGCTCGTTCCAGGCCACATTTTGGCACCGAGTAGACCAAGAGCCCCTCCGTCCTCCTTCTCTCCTCTCTGTGTCCCTGTGTCGCATAATGGGAGCAAGTGAGACATGACTCTTGAAGAAAGGAAGGGCCCATATGCACGAGCTCTCCGAACCTGACCCAAGGTGTCCAGGATAACCTGGACTGATTCCACATGTGACATTTTGAATTTCTGGAACCAGCATATCTAAAAAGCTTTGACTTTACGATAATATCTCAAAAAGCAAGATTTCATCCATTTTTTTTTACAGTGAAGCTGTAATCTACTGTACACGTGTGTGCGCTTGTGCGTGTGTGTACCCCACAGCTGTGTCTGTCCAGTCCGCTGTTGATGAACATTTAAGCTGCTTCTCTGTCTCGGCTAATGTGAGTAGGGGGCACTGAGTATAATATATCTTCTCAAATCTGTGTTCTCATAGTCTTCGATTAGGTGCTTAATAGTAAATTCCTAATTTCTACAGTATTTCTATTTTTGTATTTTTTATACAGGTGGCGCCAATTTGTACTTCCATTAAAAAGACACAACAGGATACACAGACTCTGAAAAAACTGTGGTCACAAGGGAGCAAGGAGAAGTGTTAGAAGAATGGCTGGAGCAGTTCAGTGTGTGATGACGAATGACCAGAGGCGCGAGAGACATTGCTGCCAGCAGGTGCTGTGGCCCGTGCTGAAGTGAGCACTGTGCACCCCAACGACATCATATTCTAAACTAGTGGTAGACACACAAGTTATTTAAGAAACAAAGGAAGGAGATAGCACCCCAACATCACAGGTAGTCAAGCTTCAGTTCACTTCCAGGTTGATAAAAGTCTGTAGAGTGAGAGACAAAGCTCTTCATTTAAAATAAACATAGGGGTGAGCAAGATACTCCCAGACAAAAAAAAAAAAAAAAAAGCAGGGACACAAAACTGATATATTTTCTTCCATTAAAATTAAGAATTTGGGCCCTCCATGGAGGCGCAACAGGTTAAGCACAGCACTATGATGCTGGCAGCAGCCTCGTCAGTTGGAGTTTGATCCCGGCCAGGGAGGTGACCCACAAGCACAGCAGACCTCTCCTGCCTCACCCACTGCTCCCCTCAGCAGTGTGCTGGATTGATCTGCCTGTCCTGCCCCCACTCTGTCTCTGGTGAATCCTCTCACTGCCTCTAACCTCTGCCCTATACCCCAGTTTTGTACACAGAAATCACCCTTAAAGCAAAGGAAAGCCATCCAGCTCCTGGCTCCAGACGCGAAGGCAGACTTGTTCCCTGTGCTCACAGTCGGCACAGGGCTGCTCAGTGGAAGTTTGCGGGAAAAAGAGATGTGGTTGATGTTCTAATAGAGCCTGAGCAAGTGGGAACCGATAGTCAAGGCCACAGTGAGACTCAGTGGAGGCAAAATGACTCAGAGGAAACAGTGGGGTGGTGGGGATTTTGGCTTCACTGGCTTAACAGGATCTTTGTTGATGACAGAACATGATGAAAAACCAGAGGCACAGTGGCAGCTGAGGACTCTGATTGGGTGACCACAGTGACCGACTGGAGGATGGGGAACTCTTTCCTGATGTTGCAGTGATTTTGTTAAATCTGGATTTGAAGGTGGCGTCATAGGGGTGGCCGAGGCCCAGAGTCCTCTGTTCCCCTGGGCCCCATCATCTCTCTCTCACACCCAGGCCTCTGAGCCTGAGCCCCAGAGAGTCAGCACCTGCGGGCAGAGGGGCGCTGAGAGGGAGGTTTTTGTTCGGGGTTCAACCACTGTGGGAGGAGCATGTGTACCCTGCCGGCAGTAATAGACTCCAGCATCCTCAGCCTCCAGCCTGCTGATCTTCAGGGTGAAATCTGTCCCCGACCCGCTGCCACTGAACCTGTCGGGGACCCCAGTGTGTCTGTTGGATACTTCATAGATCAGGCCTCTTGGAGACTGGCCCGGCTTCTGCTGGAGCCAATGCAAATAGGTGTTTCCATTACTAGCTACTAGGCTCTGACTGGCCCTGCAGGAGATGGAGACCTGCTCCCCAGGGGCGACGGCCAGGGAGAGGGGGGTCTGGGTCAGCACAACCTCCCCAATGGATCCTGAAAAAATGAAAAATAAATACAGAGTTACCAACAAATTTAGTGAAGCCTTTTGATAAATTTCCTTTGGAAATAATTTTTTGCTACATCATTGTTTTTTTTTTTTAATGATATCGTCTGAAGTGACATCATCTGATTTCAAAATTCATTTGCAGGAATTCCTATATCCCTCCACACCTTCCCTCTGTGTCACAGAACTGACTAGAGCACAGGTCTTTGATGTTGACTCCTAATTCTTTCTTACAGCTCCCCAGACACTGAGACCTGTGTCTAGTGCACCCAGAACACACAGGAGCGGCCCTGTGCTCCCTCCACACCCGGGGCCACCCCCTCCTGGGGCCTCACCTGGGCTCCAGAGCAGCAGCAGCCCCAGCAGCTCTGCAGGGAACCTCATGCTGACAAGCTGACCTGAGGAGCCCCTGAGGGAGAAGGGCCCAGCTGGCCTTTTAGCTCAAACCACAAGGGGCAGCTCCTCCCTGGGGGCCTCATGCAAATGCCCTGGGGGAGGCTGGGCTGAGAGAGCCCAAAAGGGGGTGAAGGAACCCCTGTGAGGAGCCTGAGCACAGTGGGCTCCCTGCTGGGGGAGACTAAGTGAGGAGGCCCCTGGTGCCCCAGTGACCTTGAAGGTCGGGTGTGACAGGAGGCCCAGGTGCTGGGACAGGGCTGGACCCGGATCCTGTCCCAGTATCAGGAGTCGTGTTGATGTGCTTCACTCATTCTTGATTGGACTTATTCTTTGGATCGCTTTGCTTTTCCTTCCAAACTTTAATTTCTTCTAGTTCTATTCTCACATTGTGAATTAATCTCTAACCATCCAATCCTGAAATAAATAAGCTCTCAGCCCCCCCCCCAACCCCCCCACCATGCCTCAGTCAACCATCTCTCTCACTCTCAGCCCAAGGATTTTCTGATTAAGTGAGACTGGGTCATAAATTGAAGGACACACGCACGCACACAAAGCAGAATTTTCCATATGAGGGATCAGAAGTAATATTGTTAACTATCTATTCTACACAAAGCCACCTTTGAGCGCTATGCAATTTATCAACAGTCCAATATCTCTGTAAGCAGAAATAGAAAACAATCTGCTATTGCTGCGGAAGCCTGGGGACGCTGAGGAGGCCGACGGTCCGCAGAAGCAGCGGAGGCCGGAAGCTCCCAGCTCCTCACGTCCCGCTCCGCGGCGCCGGTCCAGCGGCGGCGAGGAGGGCAGCAGCGTCATGTCCGACAACAGACCCGGAGGCCGCACAGAAGCCCGGAAAACAGTCGCCTGGACATGGTTAGGGAAAATCAGCAAGGGAACCAGACACTCAGTGGGGAGGAGAATCTCCCGCGCCGACACTCCTGGAAGTCCTGGACTCGGAGATCAAGTTGGATCCCGATCTTGTGCCACTCACAGACTTCATTTGAAATGACATAATTAATGGAAGACCACTTCCGAGTCAGTGTACTATCCTGCAGGAGAGCACAGAGAAGAAGATGCCTCAAGTTGATCCAGCCAATATATAGTAATGTTTATTACATTAATCATTTCTTGCAATACTTAGAGGCGCTTCTCTTGTGCTGATTGAATCCTGCTAAAGTCACAGCCCAGCCTCTGGACTTGTAATCTCGCTGTTTTTATTAAATTAGCAGGATTATTACCTGACAGTGCTGCTGGGGTGAGGAGTGGAAAGAGTTTGGGGGGCCAAAGAGCCACCTGCTCCTTTTAGGGCCTTAAATAGTGGCAGCGTTTAACTTTCAGCACTTGGGCACCAGAGGAACAGCTGGGGCTATCCGGCCGTACCCCTTCACTTCTCTGGGGGCGGGGGTTGCTCAGACTCATATCACTGTGAGCGGGAAATCATTAGCCTGCTGACAGTAGTAAGTGGCGGCATCCTCAGGCTCCAGGCTGCCCATGGTGAGCGGGAAGCCTGTGCCAGACCCGCAACCTCAGAAGCCGAAGGGGACCCCGGGGCTCAAACTGTTTCCAAAATAGATGATGAGTTTTGGAAGTTTCTGTAAGAACAGAAGTAAAAGAAACAGCAAAGTTGAGTCCCCATGTCCTGAGGGGCCTCCTGAGACTGACTTTGGTGTAAAGAGGGTAAAGCTCACCCTGGGCACGCAGCAGCCTCCAGACACTGGGCAGAGACACAGGCAGTTTGCTCCCCTGTAACACACTGGAAGCTCCTCCCAGGTGTCCCTAGCCCCTGACAGCCCCACACCTGCAGGGCTGCAGGTAGTTTCTGGGCCAGCCTCCCTCTTCCAGCCTCAGGAACCCTGACTGCAGCTGGGTCTGTGTTTGCTAAGTGTTTGGTGCCCTCTAGTGGCTGATCTGCATACAGCAGCTTATAGATTTTCTCGGGGTCCCCCACTCTTCCAGGCTGGGAGACTTTTCTCTGTTCCTCAGGAAGATGCTCTTAGCTGCCTGGGGAGCCAGGGCAGACTCTTAGGAGCACAGGATGATTCTTCTTCTCGGGCTCCTGCTCCTCCATCTAGTTGAACATGCTCCCAGGTGAGCAGGAAGTGGTCCTACTCCCAGATGACCAGGCTGCAATGCCAGGGGCTGAGCACTGGGGTGCCAAAGCCGTGGGTGGGAGAGCGGCCGGCAAGAGGGAGGCCGCGTGTACACTGAATCCTGCGATGGAACCGCGCACTCTGCGTCCTCAGGGTCAGCAGGGCCTCACCCTCCTCCCAGACACATTCTGCAGGTCCCGGGACACAGGGGAGAACAGCAGGTGAGCTCCCAGGCGGTCGTCAGCGCCCAATGCAGCTAGTGCACTGAGGAGCAAAGCTTCTCACGTCAGAGAATTCAGATTGATGTGTCCAGAGACGCCTGGGTACGAAATTTAATATGTCAGAAGTGAAGTTTTAGGGATTAGTAACTGTCCTAGTCATGGGGACAGTGGGGCTGATTGCTCACAGGGTGTGGCCAAGGCCAATACACCTAGATGGGCGGGGCCGAGACCCGTGGACTAAGGATTGTTCACATAAGAATCACACCCCACCCCAACACCACCACCCACCACCGCCCCCACCCTCACTCCCCTCCACTTCAAGGAGTTGATGGAAACTTTCTTTCTTACACCCACCACCGCCCCCACCCTCACTCCCCTCCACTTCAAGGAGTTGATGGAAACTTTCTTTCTTAGAAACTGAAAGGGGAAGCTGTAGTCTGGGGAGCACAATGTTGCCCCTTGACTCTGGGGTGTATCAAAACGCAGGTGACCCAGTTTGAAGATGCCCTACCTATGTTCTTTTCTTTAA